TATCTAATCTTCAGCATGAGGTGCAAGTGAACTCAAACTCCCAAGCGTGTTCAATGCAACCAAGCTCTCCTCACATGTTAATGCTACATTGTACAAATGATACAAAAAGTGTATTCTATATTCTGCTGTTACATTTTTTGAAAAAACAAAACAAAAAAAAGCGCTTGCCAAGCAGCTTTAGTAAAGGCACTCCGTGTATCTGGACATTAACTGTATGCGCAGTCAGTCCTGCTGCTGCATACAATGCTCAGCTCATGGAGACTAAGTAAATAAATCAGCCTGGTGACTTTCTAATGCAGCAAATAGCTCTGAGGAAGTTTAACACACAACTCTGTGCTGCTGCATTTGTTTCAGGCTTCAGATTTAACAAGAATGAAACACAATAGCGTTTGGTCTGCAACCAGCCACCTAAAAACCAAGGCAGAACTATTCACAGTGTGTCTATCTGATCTTCTGTTGACTTAAGGAGGAGCAAAGTGAAACCAGAGCAGCAAGGTAATCTCATACCGCCCTTTAGGCTAGCTCTGAAGATGTAATTAGCACAAGAATTGTTTGCCTTTGCGGCACCCACGTTGGATTGACTGGTAGTCTCAAGAGACTGGCTGTGGGGAGTAAGCCTGTAACACCTAGGAGTTCTTAAAATACAGTTGCCTGACTGAGGAACACAAGATGAAACACTAACTCTACATGCTTCATCCATTTACCGCAGTATCTCTGGGCTAATCCTGCTCATACCACAAACAAGACTTTATAGGTTATAAAAAATCACCAGGGAATAGTAAAAATTCCAGACACTCATGGGTGACAAGGATAATGGTGAAGAAAATCCTTGTGTTTTGCATATTACCATGAGGTTACAACAGGTGCCATTTCATTTACTCTAATATCAAAATTAATCTTGTAAAACTGCTTCCACAAGTTCCAATTTATAGATTAATTATTTCTGTTGTAATCTCCAGTGAAAAAACAAGCAAACAACAAACAAACAAAAATGCAAGAACAATCCTCATCTCCTCCCCCAAAACAAAAAATCATTTCAAGTGACTGGAAATGCAGCCTCTCCAAAGAGGAGGAGGATGCAAAATTAGCCCCTAAGAAGGTGATCAGAAGCTTGCATTGATACAGAAGAAAATTCCTGCCTTATAAGAACTGGAGATGGAATCTTTATCATCGAAGCACAAAAAGATCCGTGACTGAACACAGAAACTGGCCTGCACGAATATACACATTAACATAATAGATACCTTAATGTATTTACAGTCAATTTAGCTATTTAAACTGGAAGCTATAGGTCTTACACCACAATTCTATGAACAGTTTAATCCAGCATCATTGGTGAAATACAGGCTGTGGTCCCTCACTGTTTAAACCTGGCACACCCATGCCACCACTCCTGACCCAAGTCGTGCAGTGCCACCACCCAACTCTGTGCCAGCACAGGTACTTCTACTGCTCCTTGAGAAATTCACCCAAAGCACTAAACACATGATATTCTTTCAGTTAGCTTCCTGCCTTTCTTGTTCAAACAACAAAGCATTAACCCAAGTGAGATGTAGCAACACAGCAGTGGTAGTTTTGACTGGCTTGAGGTGTCATCGGCCAGACCCTTTAGCATAAGTCATATTCTTTCATTACTGATAAAAGATGTTGTCTTTTAATTAACACTGCACTGAATTGATTCAAAGGCACAGGGAAACACAAGGACTTAAATGTACTTCTGGGATGCCTGTACACCAACATTGCCTGAAAATAAAATACTCAGTAAGACAAATCATAATTAAAAAGCCTCCAGCTGTCTTTTGCTTTGCTTCATGGTATTGCTTGAACCTTGCACAGCATTTACTCGAAATATAATGAATATCTGCTAAGCGAACTCAAACATTGATGATATTCATAAAAAGAAATCCACTGCAACTCTATAATGCAACAGCCAAAGAACTACTGATTGTTATCAAAAACCCATCTGAAAAAAAAAGCAGTGCACTAGAGAACACTTTAATGAATCACAAAACTAAGAGAACAGAAGACAAAGTCTTAGCTAACAAAACAGTACTGAATTATTTCGTTCATAATAGCACGCTAATCGAGATGCCAGTTTGCAAAGCAGAAAGTATGTAGAACCGTAAGTCACTCTGCTACCTGGCAGAGCCTACAACTCCAGACATGATGGATGCTGCAATGTACTGACATAGAAGTTTTACAAAAGCACAGATTCCACACACAGTTTGAAGAATTGGGGTCTAATTTGAAGCAAGATGCAAAAAAAATAATGTAGTTGCAAAAAAAAAAAAAAAACCAAACCCCAAACCCAAGAAACCCCAAGGACAATTAGGAATGTTTCCTCTGTACTGCTAAAAATCAGTACTATAAATCAATAGATTACCACTTTGCATAAGACTGAAACAGGACCTTCAATACTATCACCTTGAAATGCAAATACTACGAATAATGAACTATTTGGAAATACTGAAGAGAAATCTCTTCAATATGCATGCAAGAAACCTATTATACTTTTATGAGCTGCATAAATTAGTAACAGTTAAACCGCTTTTATTAACCTAATAAACCCTTGCCTTAAGAAATTCATAATTCAAACACTAAAGACAACCACCACCACCACAAGTAAACACTAAGAAATATTTCAAAGCTTAAATATCAACAGTCATAACCATCTGATAGATTTGCAATTTTAAGCCCTTCGGTGCAGAGGGAAGGAAAGAACATTACTCGTGATCCCAAAGAAAACAAATACTTTCTTCAGGTCCAAAGCCCCAGAACTTCATACAAATATTACTTAGAACAAAGTACATGTTAGAGAGCTTCCTTTGAGCTGCCTCCTGCCTCAAAGCCTATTGAAAAAGCAAAACCACAGAAGTCTTACAACTGGATGACTCCTCAGAAAATCAGTTACACAATTCTTTAATTTAACATTAAATAGGTAAGAAAGATACTAGGCTTCATATCACTTTTTTCTATAAATTCTAGGAGCATAAGAAATACTACACAGAGGTATCGATTCTTTAGAACTAACAAAAACAATCAATTCCAGAACATTTTGTTTCAGGGAGAAAAAGACATGGATCTTTTAGGCTAGGCTTACATGGATTTAGGTATCACTCACAAAATAACAGGATGCTTAATAGCTGCAAAGTGGTTCTTAGAGAGGAGGAACGCCCTGACTGCCCAGCCACATGCCAAAGAGCGTGGGGTTCAGGTCCCTCTTTCTTCTGATGAACTCAAACGTCCCTCACTCCTGGATGAGCCTCTTACTAACCAGGCTACAGTCACCCTCTCCAGTCTGTAACATTTTTAAGTTTATGCAGTACAAAACAGCTCCAGTAACAAGACACACTCTCCCATTCTCCCAGATTCATGCAGCTTAGCGTTAGGCTATTCCCCAGGAAGGTTCAAATACACATACTGCTCCAAATCTACACTCTTCCATAATTTTTCCCCTTTATTTCCACCACTTCTTCCCCACACATAGTTTCTGAACTAAATCTCTAACTGGAAACATCTTGAAGACCTGTTAACATGAGCACAGACTTGAGGTTGAACATATGTAGAACATACACCAGGAGGGAGAGGTGCATTGCTCATCCTTGGAGATTCAAGTCTTGGCTAAAGGAGGCCCTGGGCAACCTTACCTAATCTGACCTGCTTTCAGCAGTGAGTTGCACTAGAAACCTCCAAAGGTCCCTTCCAACCTGAATCATTGTATAATCGCAGGGGTAAAGAGCACTATACAGTCAGATGTCTGGGTCACAGCCAAGGAAGTGATCTATGGCAGGAAAGGGACATGAGCAAGAGGAAAGCCTCCGTCTGTCACTGAAACAAGGCACCATCTTTCAGCTCCTCAACAGCCCCAACCCACCAGACTGTAGGGACATCAACTCCATCTCCTCTGTTCTGAATGTGGGACTCTAGAGTGCTGATGAACTCCCTTGCCTTTATTTTAAAAGATACAGAAATAATCTACTCAACACCTTAACCTTTTATCCTAATTTATTGAAAGGAATTAAAGAGCAATTTTGGTTCAGATCATACAGAAAATAAAGAAGACACACCCCCCTCTTTCTGAATCAGCTATTAAACTGACTTTACTGGACTCCCTTTCCCCAGAAGTAATTACTGGCATACTTGTGTGAGAATGTGGGGGAAAAAGCCACCCTACATGTTTCTTGGCTTTTTGCCTTCTTCACCTGCTCATTCCTTGGCTGGAGTTGCCTTCTCATACTTGCTTCCGCATCATCAAGAGCAAGTTTTTCTAATTAAGGCAGATGCCCAGACCACGGTCTGATTAACATAACCCTTAGGCAAGTTTCACTAAGGGGAGAAAAAAAACCAAACCACCAACCCAACAACAACAACAACAAAAAATCTTGTCAATTCCTACTTCCTCTTCCATGTTTTCTTGGGTTTGTTTCTTCTGTCCTTATAGTGCCTCTGTTACCTGGTTAACTCTGTCCCACTCAGTCATCGAAGAGTAAGAGGGAGTACAGAGCTGAGGGCTGAATGAGTATAGGAAAAAATACAGAAAGAGGCATTTTCCCCCCAAACCCCAGAAAGCAAGAAGGAGGAAGAGCTTTCCCAGCTGGTAACAGGGTACAGCCCGGCTGTAAAGCAGGTGCAAGAGGTATAGGGAGGGGTGTACCCCGGGAAGGAGAGGGGGAGATAAAAGCCCCATAAACCAGGGAGGGTTTAGGAAATCGATGTCGGAGAGGGGAGCGAAGGCGGCTGCTTCGTGTGCTTCGCCCATACACCTCCCTGCACCTACACACGCGTATATAATACATAAATAAACAGATACACACATACACTCCCCGCTGCCGACACATACACCTCTAAAGGCGCTCCGGCACACACGCACACCTGCCCCCACGGACACCTGCGGGGACCGGCACCCCCGGCCTCCCGCCCCGCGCTGTCCTTCAGGCCGCTCCCCCCTCACACACCCTTCGGGAAGGGAGCGGGGGGTGGCTGAGGGAGGAGGGTCTCACCTCTCCGGTTCATGGGACGGACGCGCACCGCCACCTTCACTTTGGAGTCCCCCATCGTGCCGCTCCAACCTCGCCAGCTCCCTCGTCCCTCCTCGGCTTCCGTCTACGGAGGGAGACCCGGCGGCGCGGGGAGGAGCGCGGAGCGGGGCGGGAGGGGGGTGAGACCGGCGGCTGCGAGAGGGAGGCACCGTGCGTGACCAACGTCCGGTCGGACTACAGCTCCCAGCGTGCACCGCGGCGGCTCGCTGGCTACAGGGGAGGGCAGCGCGGCGCGCTGTACCCTGGGAGCTGTAGTTCTGTCTGCTGTCACGGCCTGTAGGGGAAGCGTTGCATGCTGGGATATGTAGTCCTCCAGAACAGAGGGGTATCAGGTTGTGGGGTGCCCCATATGGAGTCTGTGGGCTATGTTGTACAACAGGGCACTGACAGAAAGGTCTGAGGGTCACCCCGGGTCCTGCCACTCAACCCCTGGGTGGCTGCTGGTGAACCCCATCGCACCTCAGTCCTGCCCCGCGCCCCGTTTTGGGGAGCACAGTGATATGTCATGCTGAGCAGACAGCAGCATCACCACCGAGACTAAAAACCTCACAAGATTTACTCTGGGAGCAGAAACCAACCAGGGATTCCTTTGCTGACCTTTGGGGTTTTCACCTGCTAGAAATCACTTTGAAGATCACCCCACATTAAAGATCACAAACCGTAACCTAACATATAGACCATGGTTTTGGGTGATGTCTGGGTCTGGTTTCACTGAGCAACCTCCGATATTCCATCAACACACTTTTATTAACGGGCCCAGTACGATTTGCTTAGTGAAGGTGGCTCACTGAAAGAGCTCAACAGTAATAATCAGATGCAGTTTGAACAATATTACAGTTTATCTTTATTAGAAGACTGAACTGCTCAACCACAGCTACTGATCACAAAGACTAAGAATGAAACTATAATGCAAAGATGGAAAAAATCCAAAAATCTCATTTAAATGGTCACGGTTGAAAACCCTTGCAGCTGGTATTGTAATTTGAAACAAGGATTCTCTCTGTGTTATTTTGAAAAGCCAGATTTTGTCAAGGACAGGAAAATAACTTGATTTCAGAACTGTAATCCTTTGGCCCTTCAACACTGAATGAGGGTTTATGACATAAATAAATAAATAACACATTTCGAGTGGTTTTGAGGTAAGATTTCAGAAGGTAACACTTTTTGCCCAGAAGAATTACACTCAATGTCTATTATTTCATGCCTACTTGACCTGAAGAATAGCTTGGCAAAGCAGAGAGAATACAAATACTAAGTTGGCATGTAACACATGGGATTAATGTCCATGTTCTTAAGACCTTGGTTCTGCCTGATGCAGCGGACAGTTTCTTGTTGGGAGAGGGAGCGTCCTGCTTTCAGCCTGCACAGTTGGTTCTTGCACTTGTGAACTTGAGGATCCAATTACAGGATGAAACCCAGCTTTGAACTTCTTGTGGTATTTTCCAGCTGGGGCCTCAACAAACCACACCAATGTTTTCTGAAACTGAGTACTTTGTGATGGAGATAAATATAATCTTTGCTTTACAGCTGGGCACGATGAGTAGCGTGGTTTGGTTTCTTTTTACATCAGGTTTAGTCACCTGGAATCTGATTTAAATAAAAGGGTTGAAACCCACCAGATGTGTGTACTTCTGGGGATAGTGGGCGTCATCCAAATCCAGTTCTTCCTCCTGCGTCTTCTCCTTTGGTATTAGCTATCATTGGTCTCTCTGTTATATGTAAAACTAAACAGCAATTCTTTGGGGGAAAGGATCATATGCCACCCTTTCATTTGTTAGCGAGACGTGCCAGCATGCTTTAAGTGCCATGAGCATGGATGATAACAAATCGAAGCATGCAGTTCTTGCCAGCTTTGCTCCAGTTTTCTATTCACAATGAAGAACTTGATTTAAAATCTGAACAGTCACCCTTTTAGCCTTATTTCACCTGTAATTGCCAAAGAGAAACCACAATCACATATAATCATTGCTCCTTTCTGCAAACTCCTTCAAAGACTGAGACGTCCTTAGAGCCCAAAGAACCATCCTCAGCTTCAACATCGGGTTTTATCAGGGCTTGAGGAAGGCGCACAGCGGCAATAACTTCTCATGGCTCCCTCCAGTCCTGCTTCTGGACATTTCCTTTATGCAAGCTCCTGTGTCCTGCAATGAATTACAGTAATGCAACTTCTCCTGCACTGGCACAAGCTACCTCTGTAATTACCCCACTGTGAATTCCTCGACAAGCCTTTTCCCTGGCTCGGTGTTTCACAGTCTGTGGGAAGCATCTCCCTGGAGGGGCACAGCTTGGAGGGAGGATATTGTTTCCATTCACAGCACTGGAACATGCTAATTATGCTGGGAGGAAAGGGGGGTGTGGGGGGGTGTGGGGTGTGCCAGCTTTCACTTGGGAGGGACAGGCTGGGCAAATAGTTTGTGAAACGCCAACTTAACCCCATCTTGTAGGGAATTGTCTCCGGCTCTTTTCCCCCTTCCTAGTTACTGTAATGAGGGGCTGACTTCCCAGATTAGCTCTGGCTATTTAAATGCTAATTTAATTAACAAAACATCCTTGGGGGAGAGGCATTACTTGTCCCTCCCATTCATTTATTGAGTTTCTGAATGCAACACTATTTTCATTAGGTTGAGGAGCCACAGTTATTGCTGTACCCACCTGGTCATATTAGGGATTAAGGCAGTGATGGAGAGGACAGAAAAACAAGTCTGTCTCATTCTCTATAAGCAACTAAATTTGATTTACTTTGTTTAGAAGTAACCAAATCAAAGCGATTTCATATGTCCTGTATTTCTCTGCCTGGGGTGCGCGTATCACCAGGCTGCAATAGAATAAGTTGGCTTTCTTTTTTATCTAGATAAAAGTATGAACGAGTTAGAACACAGATCATCTAGACACATGACAGTCTTTTGGATGTGTCTTCTTCCAAATTATAACAGGCAACAAATCAAGCATATTTTCAGTCCTTTTTTTTCTTTTGTTAGACTGCATATCAAACAAGATGCATCAATTATGAATTTGCTGTAGACCTAGTTTCTGCCCATAAATCATTCAGGCATTAGAAATCTAAGCCAGAGGATCTTTCAATGCTTAGTGAGTTGTATGCAAACTCTGAACTGCCACTGGGGTCCTCTTTTGCAAGAAGCCAAGCACCACTGGGACAATCCTGGTGGGACACTGGGAGGCGTTCAGGCCATCCAGCAGCTCTTTAACATCTTCAATGATCAGGTCCTCAGCACAAAAGTATTTGGCAAAGCATTTGAAAAACAAGACCTGTTCTGTTGTACATTTCTCTGTTTTATCCAGTCCCTGGGGTATTGAGTTTTACTCTGATACACTGATTTTGTCTTCAGATTTATCTTGCTTTTCAGCCTGAAGGTACCAATATATAAACATAGTAGAAATTTGTAGGCATTTATAGGTAAAAACAGAAGACAACTTATATATTTCTTTTAACTATGATTGAGAAAGAAAGCAACAAAGGAAATTAAGAACAGGTCAAAAAGTCTGGATAAAGCAGAAAATCAGTTTCTCCAAATCAGTTGTGTCAAATTTCTGCTTGTTAACAAATTTCTTTTTCTTTTCTTTTCTTTTCTTTTCTTTTCTTTTCTTTTCTTTTCTTTTCTTTTCTTTTCTTTTCTTTTCTTTTCTTTTCTTTTCTTCTCTTTTCTTTTCTTTTTTCCTTTCCTTTCCTTTCCTTTCCTTTCCTTTCCTTTCCTTTCCTTTCCTTTCCTTTCCTTTCCTTTCCTTTCCTTTCCTTTCCTTTCCTTTCCTTTCCTTTCCTTTCCTTTCCTTTCCTTTCCTTTCCTTTCCTTTCCTTTCCTTTCCTTTCCTTCTTGTCTTGTCTTTATTTTTTCTTATTTTCGTTTTGTTAAGGAATTGCTGAATTTTTCATGCAACACTTTGCACACATGCACAGGCTCAGGAGACACACATTAATTTAAGCAAAACCCTTCCTGTGCTCTATTATTTTCATAGGAACTCTGTAAAACTGAAGGATTGATAGTTTCCAGGATCATTCATAACTGAATTTTACTGATCCTAGTATGGACTTTTAAGGGTATTTGAGACTGGGCCCCTCACAGTGGACAGTGTCCTGGGCAAATAAATTAACTCTTGAAGTCTTCCTGCAGTACTAGATTATAAAAGAGTAAAGCTTGAAATGAACTTTTTGTAACTAGCCTCCACTTTTTAAAAGTTATTCCAAAGTTCAAAGTCCTGGTCATAAAATTCATTGCATTATGGGACATAATGCTCTTCCCTCTATGACCCAGAGGGAATCTCAAATCAATAGCCAGGCTCTCATCTTTCCATAAACCTCATCTGTTCCCTGTTTATGGCAGTGAAATTGCTTTTAGCTTTGCTTCGTCTAGGGTGCTTCTCCTGTACAGTGAAATTTCAATGCAAATTCATAACTCTGGCAGCAGTGCCAGGTAATATTAGCAATTTATGTGCTGGCAGAATGAGGCTCAAATGAGAATTTTCTTATCTTACTGACTAAAAATTATTATTATTCTTATCAGCTGTCCGGTTTGCTGATACAGCGTGTTTCAAAGCAACCGGTTTTACCAGCTGTGTGGCATTTTATTTGAGTGGGTCATTCCTCAGATAAAGATTTGACTTTGGATTTCATTTGTTTGAAAATAGATTTTCTGTCTTTGCAGGAAATGGAGACTCTGTAGAGAACTTGAAAAATACAAAATTAGCAGTTGTTTTTTTTTTTTGTTTAGTTTAATGGTTTGGTTTAGTGTCTGCAAGATGATCTTGTAGTCCTCGAAAAGCAAAGAACCCAACACAATGGCAATCACTGATTCTCTGAAGAATGCATATTTAGAGAGTTAAGTAATGTTTGCAGTATTTATCTCCTAGTACTCCTGACATACATGATCGGTAAGAGCTGAACTGACTTGACTTCAGAGTCTGGGATATGCTATAGCTTCATCTGCTAAATCATGTTCTGACTCCACTTCTGCAGAGGAGACCCTTGCAAAAGACACTTTTTCTTTTTCTTTTTCTTTTTCTTTTTTTCTTTTTCTTTTTCTTTTTCTTTTTCTTTTTCTTTTTTCTGCCCATTCCACACTTTTTCACCTTCCCTCTCTCCAGAAGCTGCACAGTGATCCAGACACCACCAACACTGG